CCTCAGGTTGTATAGCACTGCCCTACTAAATCAATCTGGAAGTGGACTGTACTGTATGATGACGGACGTGAGTTATCGTTTGTGGCAGAGGAATTGGGCTTAATCTGTCGCACCACTAACCCATTCACTAACCAGGTGCTATAAGTTAAAGTCAAGGGTATAGACTTCACTGCAACTGCTAGCCACCTGCCGAGAGCGCTGCACATAGCATGAGCCCTGTAGCTCCGGCGACGATTCTCCCAGGAATCTCTTGAATTGAACGGTACAGCCGTGAAACGAACCCACGACCTTCAGGGTAAGACGTAAACGGCTTGACCACTTCCAAACCAGTGGCCATTATTTGTTATCCCAGTTGTGACAGAGTAGCCCAGAGGTTCTCAGCCTTTCTAACACAGCGACCCTTTAACACAGTTCAACATTTTGTTGCCACCCACAAGCCTACAATTTGTATATCGTTGCTACTTTATAAACGAGTCGCCGTGGCGACTAGAGGTAGTGGGTTCGCTTCCTGCGGAGCCAGACTATTCTTCAAAAATTACCTTGACTCCCAGATCGACCAAGCCTTGAGTGGGTACCGGGTGCAGTCCCAGGAAGTAGAGTCGGCCGGCGTGATGCTGACCACATCACCCATCTTGTGCCGATTGGTCTATAAAAATATAGCTCTAGCCCTATATGCCCTATACGCCTAAGTGCGGCGTGGAAAATGCTCCTTTACTTTTACTTTACTACTTTTGCTACTTTATAATTTCGATGAATATGTTTTTCGAAGGTCTCGTGGAAAAACGTCGGCTCTGTGGCTAAGTCGATGCGAACGCTTCGTAATGCCGGGGTGCCGGGTTTGATCCCGGCCGCGGGCCATGCGCCTTGCATTGGTTTCGACAGTGGTATCAGGGAGCTGACGGTCCAGAAAGCAATGGCAAACTACTGGAGGTAAATTTGCCTAGAGAAATCACACAACAGCCATTGGCTGCTCGGGTTGGTTCTGCAACATCCTGTAAACGATACGCAACTAACCGTTGAAAAACAAAGGTCGCGACGCACAGGGTGAGAGCCGCTGAAGTAGCCTGTGTTTTCGAATGAATATTTTGTTTCATAGTGCCCCGATAAACTTGTTTGGCATAACGTTAAGATAGAGCCAGTGTTCTGTATTGTTTAAGCTGTGTTTCGATTTTGCCCCTTTCTTTGTAGCTCTAAAGAAGTCAGACCTTATATCTTAATGTATATGAAAAGATGATAAACTTAACGAAAATCTCCCCAAACAGAGTAAGCCCCGACTATCTCATACCAGGTCATTTTTGATTTGTAGTTGCTCAGGCTCGTTAACTTTGCATAAGGTTGCGTGGTTTTTCGCGATACCGTTGATATCGCGTGTTGTATATTTCAGCACGTCAGCCCTTTTAACGCTCCAAAAATATGCTGCACTGGCCCTAACACAACCACTAGGGCCTGCCCCCCCCCCCCCCTCCCTCTTTTTATGAGAGTGCTGCAACCTATATCACATGCATTTTCTTTCTCGGAATGAAATCCTAAATTCAAGACAACGAAGAAAGCAAACAGTAGAGCAGGACACACCCGTAACCTTTAGTCAAGCTGACCAGTCTAACAAATTATAAATGAAAGTGACCTAGTGCGTGAATGGGCGGGGCTAAATTTTCTATTATCCGTCTTTTCATTTACCCGTCACAGCCTTGACAAGGGGTTGACGGTTAATAGAAGAGTAACTAGAAAAGACGAGATGGGAAATCATGATATCAGGACACAGTCAACACGTAAAAGTCTTACTTCACATCAGGAAAAAAAAGAAAAACGAATTGTTCCTGGAAATAAATGGGTTTGACAACACCACACATCAGAAGCTCGCTTACCGATCAAATCCACATTTTGCGGATTTTATTTTGAAAAGTGACATTCGCACCCCGCCTGATATGGGTACAAGGTAAACTCGTGGGAAGTAAAGGCGAAAGGCGCGATGTTTACCAATTCACACACCGAGTGTCGATTGGTCTATAAAACACAAAGGTTTACTACTAAATGTCATATGCGCAAAGGCCTGGAGAATGTTCTTTACATTAAAAAAAAATTTTTTACGTTACTTCAGCCTTTTAATACAGAGATTTGTCTTTAAAATGTTGCATTAGTACTATGTGCCCAAAACGCCAATGAGAAGGTTATTAAATAATGGATTAGTACTATATACACGAATGGGCTTTGTGGCGAAGTCGATGCGAACGCTTCGTAATGCCGGGGGTGCCGGGTTCGATTCCAGCTGCGGACATGCGCCTTGCGTTGGTTTCGACAGTGGTATCAGGGGGCCGACCGTCCAGAAGCAATGGTAAACTACTGGAAATAAATTTGCCTAGAGAAACCACACAACAGCCAGGGGCTGCTGGGGTTGGTCCTGCAACGTCCTGTAAAGGATATGCAACCTAACCTAACTATATACACGAAACGCCAACCTCGCGAAAAGGGTAATTTGGTGTAAGGAGATATTTTTAAAAAAAGAGGACCATATTCCATGCTTTCATGTGTACTGAGTATATAGGGCTAGACCAAGTCCGGCTCCAGCTGAGAGGGAATTATGCTGACGTTACCAAACCGAGCTCACCATACGTTAACGAAGCGATTCACCAACTAGGTGTCGCGGCACCCAGGGGTGGCAAGAGCGAATGTTAGAGGTGCCGCCGCAATAATCAAGAATTTGTCCCAAATTTGTTTGACATTATATTTGCACTGGTTTTTTTTTAATTCTTTCCTTAAGTAATCAACCCGCTTTAATGGTAGGTGTACAGCGAATTATTATCTTTTTTGTGTGTGTGTGTGCCCGACGAAGAAAACTGAGAAACGCTGCGTTAACGTTCCGATAGCCCGGTTTGGTGACGTCAGCAGCATGGCCTGTCAGCTGGAGCCGGTCTTGGCTAAACCTATTTTTTACAGACCGATCGGCACTTGGTGGGTAAGGTGGCCAGCATCATCCCGGTCGCCTTTACTTCCCAGGACTGTACCGGGTACCCATTTAAGGCTGGGTCGACTTAAGAGCTAAGAATTTTCTGAAGAAAAAAAATCCAGCTCCCTTAGGACCCAAAAAAAAAAACACGACCTTCCAGCGTCTAGTCGGCGTTTCGGTTTTAAGAATACTTACTTACTTACTTACTTAGTCGCTCCTCTTCTACCTTGGGGTGTAGAGGTTTGCCAGAGAGATCGCCAGACGTCTCTATCAGCAGTTTTCTTTCTGGCTTTGTTCCGGATGTTGTCTTCCCAGCGCACCCTGGGTCGTCCCGGAGGCCTGGTTCCCTGGTTCTTAGCCTCCCATGTTTGCCATGGTGGCCGATTTTCTCCCATTCTGCACACATGTCCAAACCATCGAAAACTGTGACTGATCCACTCGGGTTAGTAGGGTATCAAGATCTTGACGTATTGTCTGATTGCGGACTTTGTCCCTTCTTGTCACTTGGACCACCTTTCTCAGGTATCTCATTTCCGAGGCCTGCAGCTGGCTTCTGTGAGCTGTTGTCGGTTTTAAGAATACGAAGAAAAAATAATTGGTGATTGAGCTCAACGAGATAAAGGGGACGTTGAGATAAAGAGCAGACGTTGAGATAGGGATAGAGCGGACGCTTAGATATAGATAGAGGCGACGTTTAGATATAGATAGAGGGGACGTTTAGATATAGATAGAGGGGACGTTTAGATATAGATAGAGGGGACGTTTAGATATAGATAGAGCGGACGTTTAGATATAGATAGAGAGGACGTTTAGATAGAGATAGAGGGGACGGTGAGATAGATATGGAAGGGACGTTAAGATAGAGACAGAGGGGACGTTGACATAGAGATAGAGCTGACGTTGAGATAGAGATAGAGCGCAGGCTGAAATAGAGGGGACATTCAGATAGAGATAGAGGGGACGTTGAGATAGAGATAGAGGGGACGGTGAGATAGAGGGGACGTTGAGATAGAGGGGACGTTGAGATAGAGGGGACGTTGAGATAGAGGGGACGTTGAGATAGAGATAGAGGGGACGCTGAGATAGAGGGGACGTTGAGATAGAGGGGACGTTGAGATAGAGGGGACGTTGAGATAGAGGGGACGTTGAGATAGAGGGGACGTTGAGATAGAGGGGACGTTGAGATAGAGATAGAGGGGACGCTGAGATAGAGATAGAGGGGACGCTGAGATAGAGATAGAGGGGACGCTGAGATAGAGATAAAGGTGACGTTGAGACGGAGATAGAGGAGACGTTGAGATAGAGATGGAGGGGATGTTGAGGTATAGATAGAAAGGACGTTGAGATAAGAGATAAAACGGACGTTGAGAAACCTACAAACGATGGTAAAGAGAGAGCGGAAGAGAACGTATGATAAGGGTGAAGAGGAGAGTCAACAACTTGATTCAATGTTTAGGGAGGGTACCTCTTTAATGGATAAAGGATTAGAAGACGCAGTTAAATCAATGTTTTGTTGTTACCTAATAACCCTGTTGACGAGAACTCTGCTAATCCCTTTTAACGGCGTGCTTTCCTAATCCGCAGCGATATCTGTCTAATAACTGGCACCAGAACTACTAGTCACAGAATAATTGCCCCTGTAATCTGAGCCAATAACTGTTATGGCATATTTGATTGTCAGTTCTATGAGTTAATCTTTTAAATCTGATCAGTTACTGTAACAGACGGACCGCAAGCTCCTATACGCGTTTGTGCCCACAAAGACGCTTCATATTAGAAGTTATATTATCTAAAAGACACCCAATATTAGACGTTCTGTTGCCTAAAAGACACCCAATATTCGAAGTTCTATTGTTTGAAAGCAAGCTTATGTCTCGAATAGCAATCAATACCGTCCGGGAAATTATTCGTCTTTAAAGAAATCTTCGTTTCTTTCTTCAGTTTCACATGTATCGTGTTAGGGAGGTGGGGTCAAAGGAGCTGTTCAAATCTGCTTCGTCACGCTTCATTAAACCTATCGTAATGGACACGTGTTATGTCGGCTCGTATTCTGAGAGGGCACCAAATCCGCTCTAAAAAAAAAACCTCATCAACATCTTCGTTTCTGTTTTTTTTCGGTTGTTGATGAATCCATCGACTTGTCGAGCGAAAAGCCAGGGTTTTAGGTTGTTTTTTTTTTTTCCACATTGTGTTATTGTGCTAAATTCACACAGAGATTTAGGGAGAATTTACTTTGTTTTATTGTGCTAAATTTACACAGAGATGTAGAAAGAATTTACTTCGTTTTATTGTGCTAAATTCACAAAGAGATGTAGGAAGACTTTACCTCGTTTTATTGTGCTAAATTCACACAGAGATGTAGGGAGAATTTACTTTGTTTTATTGTGCAAAATTCACATAGAGATGTACAAATAATTTACTTTGTTTTATTGTGCTAAATTCACACAGAGATGTAGGAAGAATATACTTTGTTTTATTGTGCTAAATTCACACAGAGATAAAGGAAGAATCTACTTTGTTTTAATGTACTAAATTCACAGAGAGATGTAGGAAGAATTTACTTTTTTTATGTGCTAAATTTCACACAAAGATGAAGGAAGAATTTACTTAGTTTTTTGTGTGCTAAATTCACACAGAGATAAAGGAAGATTCACTTTGTTTTATTGTGCTAAATTCACACAGAGATGTAGGAAGAATTTACTTTGTTTTATTGTGCTAAATTCACACAGAGATGTAGGAAGAATTTACTTTGTTTTATTGTGCTAAATTCATACAGATATGAAGAAGGGATCCACTTTGTTTTAATGTGCTAAATTCACAGAGAGATGTAGGAAAAATTTACTTTGTTTTATGTGCTAAATTTCACACAGAGATGAAGGAAGAATTTACTTTGTTTTATTGTGCTAAATTCACACAGAGATAAAGGAAGAATTTACTTTTTTGTGTGTGTGTGCTAAATTCACACAGAGATAAAGGAAGAATTTACTTTTTTTTTTTTTTTTTTTGTGTGCTAAATTCACATAGATATGTAGGAAGAATTTACTTTGTTTTATTGTTCTTAATTCACACAGAATTGCAGGAAGAATTTACTATGTGTTATTGTGCTAAATTCACACTGAGATAAAGGAAGAATTTACTTTGTTTTATTGTGCTAAATTACCACAGAGATAAAGGAAGAATTTACTTTGTGTTATTGTGCTAAATTCACACAGAGATACAGGAAGACATCGGGAGAAGATTATCGATAGCTTCTTCTTCTTCGTTCGTTCGCTTAAAATAAACTATCTATATCTGCAATGTCGTCTCTAGTATGAACTTTACTTTCTTTTCTAATTCACTCAGCGACCCGTACAAATTTGACTAACACCATTGTTTTTCTTGTTATTTGGGACAGTTTTAGAGGACATGATCTGTTGTCTCAGGTGCCAATCCACCTGTGCACGTGGCTGATTCGCAGATTTTACATTTTGTGTAAATGTGGCTCCCAGATCGATTGTGTCCTGTTCTAAGCCTTAGAATAATAACTTGCTCTGGTCTGTCCATAATAAGGTCTTCGTCTTATGCCGGTTTTGATGATTGATTTGATTATTCTCTTCTTTTGTTAAGAAGAGACAGACTGCTATGTCAGGTTGTTCTTCATCTGCACTTTCCTTAGCTAGTTTATCAGGTCTTTAATTTCCAGGAACACAGTAGGATGGTATCCGCTGCATAGTTATCTTACACCGGCTGTTTAGTTTGGAGAGTATTGTTCGTATACTAGGTAGTTTTTCAGATTTTTGATTGCATTTGTCATGACATAAACAGACGCCAGTATATGACTGTAAGCGAGCTGTAGATTTATGTAGACGATCGCAAATATGTGCAGGGACTTCCGGCCAAAATTACCGATAGCCAGCAATCCGCTGACGCTCCGAAAAGATTGTTTCTTCCAGCTAAGTTTTACTGATGCAAATTCCTCATTCCTATATATTGTTTGTTGTGTGCGTGTGTTTGTGTGTGTGTGATTATATATATTCAAGCCCAGCTATCTAGCGTAGTTGGCTAAACCGGATTGCGCGGAGACCGGGTGACGAACTCCTTGTGTTCAGGGTTCAATCCCTGAAGGTCCTTGGTTCATATGCTGACGGAGCCAAACTTTTCATTTCATAAATGACCGTGGCTTTCCTGTCGACCTAGCTTTAAATGGGTAACAAGTAAAGTTCTGGGAAGTAAAAGTGGCCGGAGTGATGTTGACCATTGTTCTTTAAATTTTAGTTCTTGGCCTACATGTCCGATACACCTGAAGGGGTGGAAAAGAGTTCTATAATTTACTATACTTATTTATATATACATATAGTTAGTTGCGTATCATTTATAGGACGTTGCAGAACCAACACAAGCCTATTTTTTCCTTTGCTGTTGTGGCTTTTCTAGGCAAATGTTACATTCAGTAGTTTGCCATTGCTTCCTGAACGTTCTGCTCTCGTACCATTGTCGAAACCAACGCAAGACAAACCGTCCAAAGCTGGGATTTAACCTGGCACCCCAGCGTTACGAGGCGCGTTCGCAACGCCTAAGCCACTGATGTTGACAGACACACACACACACACACACACACACACACACATATAAAATACAATTATCACAAAGTAACAATAAACTGACCATGTCTTGTTGTCTTTCCGCAGGTCCAAACTCGAACCAAAGACGCCGTGGCCGACAGACCTACACGAGGTTTCAAACTCTAGAATTGGAGAAAGAGTTCAAGTTCAACCGCTACCTGACACGGCGCAGAAGAATCGAACTGTCACACATGTTGTGTCTAACGGAGCGACAAATCAAAATTTGGTTTCAAAACCGGCGAATGAAAGAGAAAAAAGAACTGCAAGCAATCAAAGAACTTAACGAGCAAAGCAGAGGCCAGGAGAAAGCAGTACAACAACAACAACAACAACAACAGATATCAACGTCATCTTCGAGTAAATCAGAAGACAAACTGTCTTCGCTAACTTCTTCATCGTCACAAAACGCAGTCGAGTCGCCCAACAGTTCCGGCTCCGAGCACAGTTGAGATGATGATCATATCTCGTCGTTTATTTCGTCGGTCATGTTTTTATTTTTTTTTAATCGTTGACTAACATGGTCTCTTCAACCAACCCTTTCATCGTTTTCAAGTATTGTAAAGATAGTTCAAACATTGTTCATTAACTGTCTGAACATAGACAGTGTCTATGATTATGATGGCATAAACAAAGACATTGCCATATCTCACTGTCAAGAAATAAATTCACTAAACGTAAATTGTGAATATGTTGATCAGTAAGGGAGAGAGGGGAACAAACCGAAAAGACGCGACTGAAGGTTTGAACCCCATTACCGCCTGTGTTGACCACTTTTGCGGTGTAGGCAGAGGTAACTTTGAGCCCGATGGTTTCGCGCCACATGACTAGTGCTGTCGCCACGGACTGTGCAGGTTAAATTTTTAACTAACTAATAAATTAACCACAGGTACTTAACTATCCTTTTGTATTCAGTGAATTTATTTCTTGTTTGGGGTTTCACTGCGCCACTCTTGTTTTCAACTCGGATATCCCCTTGTGCAGTGCATGGACACTTCTTGAGCATAAACCTTTGTAGAGTGCACACAAATATGTTTCTGTATGTTACCCACACAATGCGGATGTATAAGTCAACAATGGGTGGATTTGTATTCATTTGTCTTGTTTGTAAAAACCTATCAACTTGCGTATTGTACAACAACACGCGAGGTAAACACAGACACTCCTTACTCTTCCCCATCACTCCGCCAGTGAAAGATAAGAAAAAGCAGAACAGGGAATAAACACACATGATCCTTGCTTTCCCTCTATCCAAACCTCTGCTGGTGGAAAAACAAGAATGAGCGGAACACGAAACAATCTTAGACAATTCTCACATCTTCCCCAAAATCGGGCTGAGGTGACTAGAGGAAGAAAATAAGAAAAAAGAATACCAGCTAAATCAAGGATTGTCCTCGATCGAGAGGAAAGGATTGCTGAAGAATGTTGTGTGGAATGTTTGAAATTCAACTTACAATTTTATAGTGTGTGTTTTTTCCTCCTTCATTATTTCATTTTTCTTTCTGTTAATCACTTTCGCATCGTCTATTGTTTAAAAAAAAATTGATTACTTTTAATATAAAAAAGATTGAAAAATTACATTTTCTATGGCAATTATAGACAGACAGACAGGCAGACAGACAGACAAACAGACGGACAGACAGACAGACAGACAGACAGACAGACAGACAGACAGACAGACAGACAGACAGACAGACAGACAGACAGACAGACAGACAGACAGACAGACAGACAGACAGACAGACAGACAGACAGACAGACAGACAGTAAATATAAATTTAATAACAATACGCTCAAGAAGTACATAAACAAGTGTTATCCCATTTATGTCCCGAATCCAATTTGGCCAACAAATGTATTCCCACTAAAAGGGCAATTTCCATAGACAGGTACTGCATAAGAATGTGTTATCGGGGCAAGGAATGTGGTTTGATGTCTGTTCGTATTCCATTAATCTGCCTAAGCAACAGATGCTAGTAGTGAGCTGTTTCTGTTGGTTTCATTCCTCGATCATCTTGGTTTGTACAGTTGTGAAATTTACTCTCATTTCATTTAGATGCACAAAGTTGAATCTTACGGTACCCTGAGCATCAGCATCAAGTTGCTGGTTTGTGCCACACAGGTTGACAGTGTCTTCCTCAGTATACAATTCAAAAGATCAATCCTTTAAATCTCACGGATGAAACAGTTTTTCTCTTCTTTTTTTCTCCATCCCCGGCTGTGAACTCAGGCGACACTTTCTGGTTGGTCATCCATTTTTGGGGATTAGTCTTTTTCCACAGTTTGGGTTTTTCTGTGCAGATCCGTTTGACATATCTGGTTTACATGTGTGCAAACTACTGATCCCCTAATTTCTCAGGTAGATGCACTCGACTTCTAAGAAAACCCCCACTCAAATAGGACCCGAACCCAAACAGCGAGAGACGAAAAGCGTACGCCCATTTCTGACCAGCGCGGCTATCAAGAAAAAATGCATATATAATTAACAAAGACGTAATGTATTCATCGGCACTCACAGAAAGAAGAAGAAAGATAGAATGACACATTAGACAACATAAATATCTAAAGCTTTAGTTACCGTACCGGAAATCGAACCGATCACCTCAAAATGGCGTGTGCGCCTTACTATGGAAACAAGCGTACTAAGAAACACAGCCAACTAGGCACTGCCCCTAAAAGGTGTCTTCGTTGGCCATGTCTATCGTACAGCTTGAAATCCACAACTATGGAATACAGACATAATTCATCTCAGACCCTTGAAATGGCACCATAGGTTTTATAAATGTATATGAACGACGCATAGGCCACAAACACAACAATTTACAAGCACAGCATACCGTAATGCTTTATCTAGAACACACAAACATTTAAGAAAGATTTGATTGGTCGGTGTTACACGTCATTCACATAAATAAAACAGAAGGAGAACAAGAAAATATGGACAGCGTCTTAAAAGAATGTACACATTCGTCAAGGTCGCAGAGGAACAATAGGTATGCATAAGTCTTTAATGTCTGTATTTAACACTTGCAGTGTGTCATAAAAGTCCATGGTTAAGCACCAGCAAGGAGATCACAATTAGAATTTTGAGAGCATGTATTTCCCCTGTAGTCAATATACGGATGTGAGTCGTGGACTATTTCCCAGTCTTTAAGAAAGAGAACAGGGCTTTTTAGTCTGAAATACTATGGACAGATTATCGTTTTTAGTCTGAAATACTATGGACAGATTATCGTTTTTAGTCTGAAATACTATGGACAGATTATCGTTTTTAGTCTGAAATACTATGGACAGATTATCAGAATACCATTGATAAAGAAGAGGAGAAATACCGACATCTTGAAAGATCTGAACACCAAGGAAGATGTGCTAATAAACAGCATCCTGTCTCGGAAGCTGAAATATTTTATTCATATCAAGCGCCACGACGGAGTGGAACAAATAATAGCAGAATATATGGTACCAGGAAGGAGGGGCAGAGGCCGACCAACACAAATATGGGCACAGGATGTGTCTCCTCGAGTGTGAAGGTACATTAGGCGGGAAAGCTGGCGAGAGACCGAGTTTCTTTCAGGCAGACCGTGATGAGAGTGGCGTTCTGCAAAGGACCTGCTACATGATGATGATGAGTTTGTCGTAGAATGTGGAAGAGGCAGAGGGCTACCCTTACGTTAAACTTACGTCCTGTTTTTACCGGGTCCCGTTTTTAGATGTACTCCAGCAGTCCCGTCGGCAATACAGAAATGTGGAATTTCGCACCAGAATAGAACATACATTTTCTGAGGACCTTAATAGATTTAATAGTTTTGGGATATTTTGAATGCCTGAAAAAGGTTGAAGTGATTTGTTTTTATTAAAGCAGGTATTTAAAAAAAAAAAAAAATAATAGAGTTAAGAAACAAATTGTTTCGTTTAATTTTTGGAGACAGTCGATCTAGTTTTTATACCATGTCGAGCGAGCAGTAAACCCTTTCATTCCCGATGACCTGAAATTCAGTTTAAACGGGGGTGCTTAGGATGTCAAGTTTCGAGCTGAGAATATTAGAAGGATGTCCAGTTTTTATTTTAAGATATAATGCCCACCTGTGTGGGGGGAGGGGGGGGAGGGAGGGGATGGAGGATTTAAGGCAGTATGTTTTGTCCAGTGGCAACAAACAGTGCAGGTGAATTTTTATTTTAAGATTTGTATTCTTTCCACGACCCCAAAAAAAAAAAAAAAACACACACACATCTCTTGAGTGAAGTCGAACTCGACTATTACCGCATACTGAAGGATTAACACACGGTGACCCAAAGAGTCACTACTCGGTTGCGAACACCCAGGTCTAAACGGTTTTAAGGTCATCCTATTTACGGACTTTCCGTGTTGGTTCCAGGGCCCCACTGTATGGGCAAAATAATAGATCTACTGCCTTCCTAACAAGCATGTCGTATGAGTCGACTAACTACGGGTTCCTTCGAGGTCGGAGTGCATCTGAGAGTCAAAGAACCAATAATCTGCGTACTGATAAGCCAGATCTGTACATGCAACACTCACGTTCTGGAATACCACTGAAATTCAGAAGTGGACGAAGTAAGCAAAACTTTTCACTGGCGTTTACAGCCGGTGAACCTGGAAGACGAAGAGGATGAAAAATTGCCGACAGGGTAGAGACATCCATCTCTTAGCAAGGATCGCTGTAGAGTCTTCCGTGTCAGAGACCTCGCTCTAACCAATCGACCAGCCGCTCATGGGCAGATCCAAGGTTACAGGCCAGAAAGACCCCACACCGTGCAGATACTTCTCAGCCCAAGCCACAAATCCCACAATACCACTATTGTAATCCTGAGATGTCAGAACTCTCACTTGTGGCCTTCTGCGCGTCTGGATACAACCACCATGCTTACTTCATTACACAATGCAATTCTTGACATTTGTACACACTTACTTGTCACCATCTCGAGCAGTTAAACATACCCCAGTGCGCAAACCTGGCTGAGCACGTACCCGAAACACACTCGTGTAAACAGCACAGCCCCAGCGAAGGTGGTTCACTACTCGTTGCCGTCTTGTCTTAGCGACAACGATAATTTATTTGTAGTTTTTTCTCTTTCCCCCTTCCTGACCGACACCCAACAGAGATGAGTCGTGAAGATGCCACTGCTGGCCATAGACAAGGTTGGTTTGGGAAGAGCGTAAACATGGAAACTCCGAGAGATTCCACCGTTATATGCCAGCAGGAGGCGCAGGTGTAGACTCAAGGTGATGGTTCTGTTACTTGTCAGTTCGAGTCTGATGTGTGCCAAGTTTGCGGTGTTATCTGCCACACTATGTTTATTAAGACTTGGGCATTCGGTGAAGGCTATAATTCCTTGCTTGATTTAAACTATTGGCAGTTTTAACGACTTTATAGTTTATCAACTGGTTACTTAATTTTATATACTGCCTTTTCTCCTTCTTCTTCTTCTTCTT